TTCCATGTCCCTTTTTTTAAAAAAAAACATGGATTTCAATCAACTTTGTTAAATCAGATCAAGCTTCTTCCTTGTTCCATCATTTTGTATTTTGAAATCTAACTCCTCTCCCTCTTTTCCTTCGATGGTAGCACGTCTCTCCTCTCCTCCCTACTGTAGATCTCTCCTTTCCTCCACACAACAACTCTCTCTTCTCCTTCCCACTATATCGAGACCTATAACATTGAGATCTATGGTCGACAAAGTAAATAGAGACCTAAGGCCAGTATTCAATAGTGAGCATTCGATAGACAACTCTCTCTTCTCCTCGTCTCCTCTTTCCCCATTCGACTGATAGCTTTAAGACCTATGGTTGAGATCCACAACTTCTCCTCCTCTTTTCCTTGGGTGAGCAATATTTGGTTAGTATCGCTTTCACCCACAAGCTCTTTTTCTTTGTAGATATTTCTGACCTTTGCTTGAGCCTTTTCCATTATCTTTGGTTACTTCATCAATTTTGGTATGGTTTTATTTTTTTATTTTATTTTTAGGTCTGTAAAATCTATAGCTAGCTGGAATGATGAAATGGGAATGAAAGATATTTAAATTTAAATTATTTTAATATTTATTTTAGGAGAATCCACGTCCCTTTTTACAAAAGAGAGATGTGGTTTCTCTAGAATCCACGTCCCTTATAAAAGTAACATGGATAAGTTAATTTTTTATGTCAACCGGATCTATGTCCCCCACAATAAGGATGTAAAATGCCCTAAAAAAGAGACGTGAAAAGCTTTTTTTGTAATAGTGTGAGTTCTACCCAGAGGATTTATGGTCATGACAACTTGCTTTGTTGTACTGAAGCTTCTTGTTTTGGATGGCACCAATGTTGTCGCTAATGAGGTTCTTGTTGCTTCTTACTTTGGTCACTAGTTTCTCCTTCAACCTAGGTGGTAGAGAAGGAGGTTCTTCATCAAAATCATCAGAAATTGACGATGGCCACTTTTAGGGTGGTGGTGGTTTCTTGTTGCTACTTAATCAGTCATGCATAATGTACACTTCATGATGAAATGATGCAAAGCTTGGGAAAGACTGAATAATGTCATACATGCTAGTGGGATTGGGTTTGGGGCATTATTCAATGGAAAAGCGAGGGACGATAGGGTCATGTTTGGCATGAAGGCTTTAGAGAATCTTTTGAAGCTCTATAAAGGATCGATGAAGCCAGAGAACAAAGTTGATGATAGGAACACAAAGAGGACCAGGTGGGAGACAAGAGAGATCAAGAGGCAGAGGCAAACAGGGATGAGGACGATGAAGATGAACTAGACACAGACATTAAGTATGTAATTTCTCATCAAGAGGAAGAGAGACGCTGAGAGAAAAGGGGGAGAGAGAGAGATGCTAACCCTCTGTTTGGATGGGAAGAAAAGTTGAGAGGAAAGAAAATGGAGAGAAGAGAAAACCAGAAAGAAAATATTATCACTCCTACTGTTTGGATGGACAAGAGAAAATGGAGAGAAAAAAAATGAATAGATATCATAATGACTATAATGCCTTTATATCAAAATATATCATGTTTCATGTAATTATATTTGTAAAAATAAATTGAAAGCAGAAATTATATTAAAATTAATATAATCAAATTAATTTAAAATCAAATCATTTGTTAAAAATGTATTTTTATATTATATTTTAAAATAAAATAATTTAATAAAATATATTATTTTCACATTTTAAAACAAAAGTGGGCACTAATCAAATTAAACACAATAATGAAATGTTATAAACAAAAGTCAAATGTGTTTGTATACCCTTAGATTCAAGCAACTTTGCAGCCTTTATTTCTAAAATGAAAAATAAACAAAAAAAGGCCATAAATTCAATAGCTCATGAAGTTTAACTTAAAGCCATCATAACAAAAGGAAGAAAACCTCTCCCCTAAATTCTAGAGTTACTCACATGACCTCAATGTTCTCTATCAAGTAAATCTAGACACTTGAACTAGCCAATGGCTAAATTATTTAATTAAATAGTTAAATTAATGTAATTCATAACCATAAAAGTTAAAAATATTAAACCAAATTGTTTAATTAAAATTAAATTAATGTAATTAAATAGTCTCCTAGGAGTTAGAGTGTGAAATGGATAAGATAGAGAGCCTCATAGTGAAAAAAAAATTACTTCCAAAATCTCTCCACTTTTAGAGAGAAAAGTTGAAAGGAAAATACACGCTACAACAAAATAAACTAAATATGACACCTTATATTTGATAGTTATAAGTGTGAAATGACAAATAAAAAAGGTGCTAAATACGTGATGGTTGTTTCAAAACAACCATCAAGTATTTAGTATATATTTGACGGTTATATTGACGTAACTGTCAAATATATTTGCATCCTAAATTTTATTTGTTTATATAAATACATTTGACGCTTGTTTACTAATAACCATCAAGTATATTTTGGTATACTTGATAGTTATCTATAAACAAGCGTCAAATATATGATTTAAATTGAAAAATAAAAAAAATTAATTACTTGATATTTGTTTATTAATAACCGTCAACTATGTTTGCATTTTATTTGACGGTTATTTAATAACAAGTGTTAAATAAAGAATACTTGATAGTTATTATGAAATAACAGTCAAGTATTGCCTTTTAAATTTACGCTCCAAAACCTTTTATTTTCACATTTCTGAAACTTGAATGTTTTCGAAAACACACCCAGAGTATTCGAAAATTATTTTTCGTCACTAAAACTACCCAAAAACATAGATTTAGACTCTGATTCTTCTTGAGTTTTGCTCGTGGGTTCCATTTTTTAGGGTTCGTGCGTTGTTCATTCATCCGAGTCTTCATTTCAGGCGTTTTGAATTCATTCTCCATCTTCTATATGTAAGTTTAATTTCTCCTTCATCTATTTAATTCATTTTTGGGTTTAGTATTTAGGGTAAATCTGACTTCAAATTGCCATACTTGCTTTTCAACAGTGCAAAATGTGAGTTGTTTTCTCTTCTCGTTCCCCTGCTCTTCTTTTTCATCCTCGTGCTCTGTTGCTCTTAAGTAAGTTGGCCTATCCTTCTTCCTTATGGTATTGTTGTCAATTGATTGTAATTAGGGAATTGATTGGAATTAGTAAGTGGAATATGAATTTTTTTTCATTAGAACTATGATTTGTGATTGAATGTATATAGGCTTTGGTTTTTTCTTCTTTATTAGTTATGAAATTAAATTTAAGATTATATAAAATTTAATTTACTATTGGGCATTATATAAATTTGTTGAAAATTCACTTCCCTTGTTGTGGTGATGGTGATTAATTTTATTGTTGGATAACTTAATTAAATATGATTGAGTTATATTGAATTTATAAGACAAAATTTTTGTATTAATTGTTGCTATTGATAATTTGATTGGGTATAAGTATTATATGAGAGCTTGTGAATGATCAAATTTTTGAATAAAGAGAGGGTTCAAAACCTGAAAAACTCTTTTTTTAAGCTATTATGTTGCCGAATTTTTTAGGATAAAATTTTTATATCAATTATTTTTGGGTAACTTGATTGAGTATAATTAAGTTATATGAGAACTTGAATGATGAAACTTTTTGTTTAAGTTGATTAATTGTGTTCTTTTTATTTAAGTTGATTAATGTTTGAATTAATTGTGTGAATTTTGTTTAAGTTGATTATGTTCTTTTTATTTAAGTTGATTAATGTTTGAATTAATTATGTGAATTTTGTTTAAGTTAATTAATGTTTGATTTAATTGTCTTCCTTTACAGATAAATGGCTTCTGATAGTGAGTCTATTGATACCCCTCCATCAATTTTAGCTACAAATTCAACCTTGGTTTTAAGTACATAGAAAAAGCTAGAGTAGGAGTACAACAACATTCAACGGGGCCCAACGATAATGGAAGAGGTGACAAAGATAAGAGCTGCAAGAAAAAAAATTGATGTGCAATGGAATAAGAAAGGACAAGCAATTAAATCCTTAAAATTCATAAGTTATATTGGGGTGGTGGTAAAGACTACTGTGCCTATCACAATAAAATTATGGCACAAAGTAGATGAGGCCACGAAGGCTCTTGTTTGGGATACTGTAGCAGTAAGTTGCATTTTATTGAGTATATTTTAGTATGAACTATTTTTAAAATTAATGCATTTGATATGTTATTTATTTTATTTTGCAATTAAAATTTGACATTGATAAGAGTGGGCAAGATTTTGTCCTATAAAAGGGTGGGAGGGCACTATGGTCTTTTAGATATTTCATCACATAGAAATATTTGAAAGATCCTGATGCTAAATTTGTAGCTCGAGTTTCTCCCTTATTATAGCCTTTGGTAAAATAAGAGGATTGAAATGCTTTTGTTGCCTCACAGTGTGAGAAAGAATTCAAGGTATTAGTGTTTCTTAAATTTTAAGTTTGGTGTTATTTATTAATTGTATGTGTATGTACTAACAAAATTTTTTATTATTAACTTGTCAAGGAATTGAGTGCTCAGAATAAGGAGAGAGTAGTGAAGAACGAATATCCTTATAGAGTAGGAAGGTTAGGATATATAGGCCTTGAGCAAAAACAAGTATAGGAGGAGGGATCAGAGGTTACCATATCCTGCCATAAGCTCTAGGCATTGGCACGCACTAATACAGAAGGAATTATTGACAACCCCCACATGAAGGAGGTTACTGAAAAGATTGTAAGTATTATATTTATCTATTACTTAATAATTAATTATGAATATCCAAACTAATCATATTTACTCTACATAGAATTCCATCTCTCAGGAAGTCTCACAGGGAAACCTTCTTGAGGATGAGGATATCTCGGCTAGGGCGTCAGGAACTACTGACCACCCTGGTCGTGTTAGGGGTGTCGGCTTTGGCGTCATAAAGAAGCAATATTTTGGCAAGATAAAAAAGCGAACATTAGCTTCTTCATTTAAAGTCCAAGAATTGAGAGAAGAGCAAGCCGTTATGAAGCAATAACTGCTAGCCCAGGCAGTATTAATTGACATGTTGTTGAAAGAGCAAGTCCCTAGGAGGACTTTGGGTGAGATTAGCCTTTGTCAGAAAGATAGCTACACAGTCCCCTCAGAAAAACTACCTGAGGTAATATGTTTTATCTTATGAATTTGTCTAATTATTTTTATTTTAGAAACTGATTGTCATTGTTTGTTTAATTAGGGCAAGAACGATTGCAATTATTTGGTAGACACTCCTAAATGTAGAGTGGTTGCAATAGGATGTGTGTACAAAATTCTCAGGGACACGATCCATAATCATCCCCTCCTGCCCGACTGTGTTAGAGTTTCTCTACTTATTGCCATCAACCCTAACTATACATTGCTTGTTCCTACTAATGAGGCACAGATGGTGGGGGAAGCAGTAGGGAGCTTTGTTGCATGGCCTAGCCACCTTGTAACAGTGGTAATATTAAAGCAAACAAAAGACCCATTGCCTCCAAAGAAAAAGATATGGTTTAAATAATTATTTATAATTTTATAATATAATTATAAATATCTAACTTTTTTATTGTGCAACTGAGAGGGAAGAGCAAGCTGAAAGGTAAATCGAGCCATACTAAAGAGTCAACCACAGTTTTGCAATATCCAGTAGCACTGGTGCCAGTTGTAGAATACAAATACTATGCCTCTCTTGAGACATATGCGATGGCTACGAGGATGGTTCGTCAAGTGGTGATTGGGGATATCATTAGTTTTGATGATGAGCTGTATGGAAGACCAGGCTTGTTTGAAATTGTTCAAGATGAAATTTTAAATGAAATTCTCAAGTACGAAATGGCCAGTACTAGTCTGATGAGCTTTTACATGAGGTATTTCTTCGATAATGCTCAGTCAATTACTTAAACTATATACGTATGTGTGCACGCACGTGTATTAATCTAGTTATTTTTTTTACTTAAGCTACCTTTATACCTCATTTGTAGTTCCTAGCGGCCCTGAGTCGATTCAAGCTGATTAATCCCCATAATGTCTTTACCTATAATGGAATTACAAAGGAAGCTCTTGAAGATCAAGCAAGGTAGCTTTCGAATCAATTCAATGATAAGGGAGCAAGCAATGATACTTTATTTCTTACTCCTTACTACCAAGGGTAAGTCACTTTTTAGCTGCTTTTGGTATAAGTAAATATTTTTTATATTTACTTATTTGATAACACTTGTTATTTCTTATTAGGGGGCACTAGATGCTTATTATGGTTAACCCTGTTGCTTCAAAAATTTGATATCTCAATCATCTTAATGGAGAACCAAGCAATAAGCCAGATATGGTAGAACTTTTTAATAAGTAAGTTGAATTTTTATCAATTGTTATTTTAATATCCATATATATTGAATTTCTGACATTTATTCTTTACTTCGTTCTTAGAGCTGTGGTCTTGTATCGTACTGCGACCAACAAGACCTTGTCCCCAAGGGCATTGGACTCTTGTGAGACATGGGTCATAGTTATGGTAAACCTAATAGGCTAAGTTTTTAATTAACAAACCGTGGCCTTTTAACTGTTATTTTATTGATATGTGATTTTTATCACAGTGTCCACTCCAGCCAGATTAAAGCAATGACTATGGCTATTGCTTGATAAGATTCTTGAAGGACATTATCACCCATGCCCCTACCATATTACTTAACAAGGTATATATTAAATTTAATGATACTTAAATTATAAATTTTAACAACATTTGTTAGATAGCTATTAACTTAAATTTGTTGTAACTCTTTGCATACGCTACTTCGAGGATGCCTATTGTGTTTGGTATACAGCTGCACATATAGAGGAAACCCTTGAAGAGGTAGCTCAAGCCATGTTTAACATGTGGATAGCAACAGTGGTTAGGCCCAATTAGTTTTGGTATACACATTTTTTTTGGTCAATTTTATGTCTGAGGCCAATTAATTTTGAAATTTTAACTTGTAAAGTAGGTAAAGTTTTGACGGTTTTTAACCATCAAATAAATATATGGCACCCAATTACTTGACTGTTAAAAACCGTCAAATAATTTCTAAAATAAGCATCAAGTAAGGAGGTATTCTGTAGTAGTGATAGTGGGTTTCACATCCTATTTTTTTTCTCCTTTTTTTCCTCTCATTTTTTCAGCAAGGAAAAATTGATTTTCTCTCCTCTTTTCTCTCCATGTTTTTTTTTTCTTCCATATTTTCTTCCAAACCAAACAGAACATAAGAGAGACAAGGGGGAGGAAGAGAGGCGCTGAGAGAGAGAAAAAGAGGGAGAGAGAACAAGGAGTTGTCAAATGCAAATATTGGCCTCATCATTCAAAGTGATGAATATTTAGTCCACAATAGAGGCAAGGGCGGGTTAAATTGCTTTAAATTTAATTATTTAAAATTTAAAATATATCAAAATATATCAAACTCTTATTCAACATTCAAATTGCATATTAACTCAAAATTATAACAAACTACTTGAATAAAATAATATTTATCAGCAAGGATCTTAAAAATAGTTATAATAGAAGGACCCGATATCAAAAGATAAACTTAAAAATACTATATTGTCTTTAATTATCTCTCGTACATTTTTTCTAATCATATTTCACATATTGTATCTGATAGTTACTAACAAAAATGCGTTATTTGAGAGAAAGCTATATTTTTTTTTATACAACAAGAAGATGAAAGAAAAGAAACTAAAACGAAGTTAAATCAATGCCTAGGAACATGCAACAAGTTAATAATATCATCTCTCTTAAAAATTAACAAATTCAGATATTGAGAAATCACATTCTTGGCAAAACTAAATACTAATTCTTTTAAAAGTAAAGATTTAAAAAATATTGATTCAATTATTTAAAAATAAATATTTCTAAAATTATACTGTTTTAATTAAATTTAACTCTACTGTTTGTTTTCGGGTGTGAAATTGAAAAGTGCACAACCTTCTTTTTAAAAGAATACTTTTGTAATTTGGGAAGTATCCGATATTGATTTTATCGCTGTCAGGTTTTATACTAAGGTTATAATAGTTAATTACACTTATCTTGGTCCTTCCTCTTAATTTTAATTTTAAAACCTTTTATAATAAATGTTAGTAGCATTAGATTCCTCTCCCTAATTTTCGTAATCGGATATTATCTCCTTCCTTTTCTTTTCCACCAAGCCCGTGGGTCCTGTATCATGATTCAATCTCCATGCCCATATGCTTGTGTGTGGAGAAATTCTTTCATGGATTCAATGCTTCACCTCATTTGTATATTATCAAATAAAAACATTATGTTGAAGGAATTTTCATTTGATTTACAACCTCTTGTTGCACTGATTGATAGTTGTCAATATGTGTTTGTGAGTTACGTTGGTGCATTATATATATATATATATATATATTGATAGAGTAGTTTATATCTCAATTCAATATAATTTTTTTATGGTTGAGGCAAGGGCAGGGGTCATTTAATCAATCTTGCAAACTAATTGAGTGATTCTTGAGTATTCAAGTTTGTTAATATTTTCTAAAAATTCATTAATAACATTAGGCGGTTTGTTGCTAATATCTAGAGATCTCTAGGGTATTTTTAATTCAATTAAACAGTAAGGAAATGAATTTTGTGATTAAAGTGAGGATTGAGTACTAGATTCTCAAGAGAAGCTTCTTACTTTTCATTATGCACATTCACACTCTCTTCACAAATCATAAAATAAAACAAATATTTGTTATAGATTTAATTAGTGGTTAAGGGTTATTTTTATGCCTTAACTTTACCCAAAAAGTTACTAAGCACTCTAAATTCAACTATGAATAAATTATATTTCTCAAAGTTAAATATTTTCTTTATCATTACCTTGACGTTAAAAATGCTCGACATCCATTTGTCATCAATCAATCCTATCATTTATTTATTTTTTATTAGGTTAAAGGTTATTTTTGCCCCTCAACTTTTATATGAAAGATCAGTAAGTACACTCAACTCAAATATTTTATAATAAAAAATATTAAAAAATATAATGTGAGGCCTACTTATAGTGAAAAGACAGCATCAAGGTGATGAGGGAGAGAATATTTAATGTTGAAAGAGAAATTTGATCCATAATTAAGTTTAGAATGTTCAATGATATTTCAAGTAAAGTTAAGAAACAGAAACGCCTTTTAACCTTTTAATTAGTGTTTAGGAAGTTTGGGCAAACTCATTCTTTGCTGGGTTTTTTTTTCAGTCATTTTAATCATTTAGGAGTTTAGAAGTATCAATTCCTTGAGAGAGAACGATCTTTGTTGACTACTATACACGAGTGTTAATTAGGTTAAGCTGAGGCTGACGCCACTGTGATCTATCACCATTGTGTTAATGTACTCTCATATATTAAAATATTTTGCTTTCGGCCAATAGAAAAATCTGGTTTGGGGGCAATCAGCAGCGGCGCTCCCCTTTTTTTGGTTCAACGTTTTAACAACGGAAATTGGGCTTTGAATGGCCCAATTTAGTTTTGGAAGCCCAATATCCCACTGACGTCCCATGCCCACCGTACCGTATCATCGCTTGAAGCGATGATACGGTTCGCTTCCTTCTATGCTCTGTCGTCTATCTCATTCCCTCTGTGCATTCTTTCTCCTTCCCTTTCCATCTCTCCCTAATCACTAATCGTATCGTTAATTTCATTTTCAAGTGAAAAAAATAACAAGAAAGGAACTGAAAAAGGGAAATAATAACACTTAAAAGTAAAACACCCCTGAAATAGCAATTAAGGACTAGGGTCTTTTACTGAATTTTTCAATAAAATTGATGGACCAAAGTATCTATTACTTGCTAATGCTCTAAGGATAATCAAATTGATGAAGAGAAATGCTTTTTTCATAATGGTATTTGTAGCCAATCAACCAATATGATCCAAGAATTTCATCATCTTTTTTTTTTTTTTTTGAGATATTCGTAGGCTAGATTGTACTTTAAAGTTAAACGTTAGCAAGTTTTAATGGACATCTAGTTTATTATTAGTTAATAGTTGCAATCATCTCCTATCAATAGGATGAGGTATCTGGAGCAAGCAAATGAAAATCTTTGACTACTCAATTTGCTTGATTTTCATTTTCTTTTGGAATTCAATCACACTGACAATTAATTAGAGGGAAAAAATAAAAGAAAAAAAGTATATATTTTTCCTCATTTATACAACTCTTGGCTTTGCTTCTCCATTTCATGGATCCTTGCTTATAGTGCCGATTATTAGCTTCCCCTTGAAGATTTGCACATTTCTTGTCATCAGCAATTCCATCTTTAGATTCCAACAGTTGAAAAGCAAAGTTGCGTAGTTAATTTAGAAACCTTCTCCTTGCTTCAAATTTTCCATCATTTTACTTTTTTTGGGCTTCTATGAGTTTCCCGTTCCCAGGTCCAGGTCCCCGAGGCCTAGATGTCTTAATCCAGAATTTTAATTTCTTTGTGGCTTTTTATGTACTTTTTTCTTGTAGACATGATTGCAATGATATGATGTCTCTGATGGTACTTCGACACTTCGCAGTTTCCGCTCGCACATCAAGCTCGCTTTCTCAACAATATCCACTCTCCCCCCACCCCTCCAAAAAAAAAAAAAAAAAACAGAGAGAGATATGAAGCGCCTGCATGCCCACATATGCCAATTCCATCTCCTGCCAACTCGGTTTGGATTTCAATTTATATATAATGAAATTATATTTAAAAAATTTAATTATTTGTTAGATTTAATAAAAGTACAATATATATATATATATATATATATATAGAGTTTGAATGTACATTTGAATGTTACCCAAACAAACCGTTAAAGCCTTAGACCAGCGGCAGTGGAGGAGATTTTTCTTTTGTTTTTTTTTTTTTTGGTAAAGCTCAAATGATATTATGATATATATCACGGATAGCAAAGTTTAATTTACCCCAACCACGCCAATAAATATTCCTTCCGTTAAAAAATATAAGGTATTTTTAACCGAATCTCACTTTAATAAAGTAGTTACATACTTTTCAACTAACCCTGTCTTTTCATATTTACTCCTATTAAATATACTACAATAAATATAAAGTCATTATTAATATGGGCACTTTTGAAAAAAAAAAGGCATTAATTACACTTCGAATGACTAAAAATACCTTACATTTTTTAATATTCAACTCCTCAAAAAAAATACTTTACATTTTTAAATGAAGGAAGTAAAACTTTGTGAATTAGGTTTGTTATACATGTAAGAGTTGAAAATTTGAAATACAAAAACTTGTTTAAATAATGAAATCTGTACTACATGTGTTAACTTAATTTGCTAAAGAGATTTGAACAAGTACTCCCTCTAATCCTATTTATAAATTGCTTTTAGCATATTTTATTAGAATCAAGAAAAACCTTAAACCTCATTAACTTTGTTTTAAAATTTAATAAGTTTTCACCTTTACTTCTAATAAATATTCTTAAATTTTATTATTGATATTTTTATTCAAAGCATTTAATAAAGGTAAAAATGTAAAGAGAAAAATTAAAAATTGTCAAGGGCCCTATAAATAGGACCAAAGGAATATTTATAAAAAAAATTAAACAAGTTGAATATATGAAGGTCAAAATTATTTGAATTATATAACTAC